GTAGTGGGTTTGTAGGGGGAAAGTGCTTATGAATAAGGTTCAGGAATGATTTGCCGATGTTGGTGGCAATGTTCTTGCTGAATGGAGGATTGTACCAGATGATGTTTCTCTGTCGTTTCTGCTTTCGTGGGTTCTGTGGCTGAGGGGGCTCGTATTTAGGATCGTACGTGAAACCGGATGCTTGTAGTGTATCCATGTATGGTGGTAATGCGTTCCAATACGTTGCCTCACTGTCGGATAAGTCGCGTATTCTCCTGTTGATGGAAGATGGGAGTTGGGTGATGATATTTCTCGGATGGTTTGATGCGGAGTTGATGTAGAGTGGTGGGTCGTTTTTTTTTCTGTATGGTTTGAATGAGCCGGTGTTGAGGTTAAGTGTGACGTCAAGGTAGTCTACGACTTTCAGGTTGGCTTTTGTTGTGATTTTTAGTTTAAAACAGTCGTTGAACGTTGCAGATATTCTCTTTTTGATGCGCTCCATTTGGGATGGTGTGGTGTTATGGATTATTGCAAGGCCGTCGTCCCTGTACAGTCCTAAGTTGGAATTACCGTAGTCATGTGACAGGTGATGCAGGATGTATGATCCTACTAGCTCACAAACCTCGGCACCATCATAGCTGCCCATAGGGACGTCAAATAAATTATTGTCTGCTGTTTTCTTTTGCCAGCATTCACCATTGTTGAAGAGGAGTGATTTTCTTGCATGGGAGATGATATTGCGGTCTTCGTGGCTTATATCTATGTATGCAGCCGCAAAGTTTAAAGCCCTTGTTAAGTAGGTCTTCAGAAATGGAAGGGTAGAAGTCCACCATGTCGAATATGATAAAGGAACAATTTTTCTTATCTGCTATTCCTTTATACCAGTGAATGACGTTATTCGTGTTTTTCCACTGGTTTACTCCTGTCTTGTAGGTAACAGCTTTGTTAATTTTGTCGAGTATGTGTTTGCTGACTATACCAATTTCTGTTTTGGATGGGTTGATCAATCTGCACGAAGTATTATTTTGGAAGTTTTCTTTGTGGTATTTTAGTGTTATAAAGGCTGGTTTTTTTTTTGCAAGGGTGTCTGCTCTGCCATCCAGGTTGAGTGAAGCAGCAATGTGACTGGCTTCAGAGTTGATCTTTTCTGTTGCATCGGAGGGGGCTTTCTTGTAGCTCTTGGTGATGTGTTCCTTAAGTAGCTTGTCATATTGTGCTTTGTTGATTTCATAGAAGTTTTTTGTTTTATCGGCTGGTACGAAGAGTTTATCCGATGAGTTGATCATTTTGGTGTTTCTTTTAATTTTTGTAGGAATTTACAGTTGCTGTTGCGAGTTTTGACGTCTTCAATCAACTTTAAAACATCGTCTTCGAAAGATTTGAGCTCTTGTATTTGGGGTGGAGTTTTCCTGGACTTAAAACCATACGTTTCTTTTTTCGTAGCATTGGATGGATTAAGGAAGTAGAAAGCCTTCCAACGCATT